ATCTTCATCTTCGTCTTGACTGACAAGAGCCAGCTCATTCTCATAGCAGAAGGCACTGGGAGGTGGGGGAGAAGGTAGGATAGTCATCTTGCTTTCTTGCAGCTCCCGGGCTGAGCAGCAAGGCGTGCCAGCTACCTCATAGGTCTTGTGAAAGCGCGAATAATCCACTTTGTAGTGGTTCTTCTCCTCAAACACAACTGGTTCAAAACGGTGACCCCAAAGGATCTCACTAGCGAGGTAAGAGCTTCGTGCCTGTGTGGTCATGGCTGTGGCTTCCACCATCCCCTCCAGAATAACAACAATCTCAAAGTTCTCCGTCTCCAGCTCCTCCTTGCCAATCCCATAGAGTGGGCTCTCCTCATCAATCTCATGAACAATAATAATGGGTGACACCAAAAATATACGATCAAGGCCCACGTCATAGCCCACATTGAGGTCCCGCTGGTCCAGAGGGAGGTACTCTCCTTCCTCTGTCATGTAGGGTTTGATGAGCTGGGCTCGGACATGGGCCTCCACAATGTGGCTCCTCCTCAGGTTGCCCACCCGCCACATGAGGCACAGTTTGCCATCCCGCACGGAGATGACCGCATGGTGACTGAAGAGGAGGGTCTGGGCCCGCTTCTTGGGCCTTGCCATCTTGGCCATGATGGTGCCAATCATGAAGGAGTCAATAACACAGCCCACGATGGACTGAACCACAACTGCCATGATGGCCAGTGGGCACTCCTCAGTCACGCAGCGGAAGCCATACCCAATGGTTGTCTGTGTCTCCACTGAGAAAAGAAAAGCCCCTAGGAAGCTGTTCACGTGCATGATGCAGGGCTTGAGGAGAGAGGGACCACCTCCCACTGCTGGTGCATTGAGGTCACCATGGAAGAAAGCGATGCACCAGAAGAGGAAGCCGAAGAAGAGCCAGGAGACCAGGAAGGCAGCAGAGAAGATCATAAGCATGTACCGCCAGCGTGTGTCCACACAGGTGGTGAAGATGTCAGCCATGTAGCGCTGAGACTTGTTACTCAGGTTGGCAAAGTAGACGTTGCACTGGCCATTCTTCTTCACAAAGCGGTTGCGGTGCTTCCGCCGGGGGGCATGGCCCTTCCCATTCCGGCTGTGCCCATTCATGCTGCCCAACGAGGAGACCTTGTGTCCATCCTCTTCAGTCGAGACGATGCTGTACCTGCAAGAGAAGGAACAGGCATTTCCAGCAAAAATACGTGAAGAACAGCAACAACCACTGAGACAGCGAGGGTGAGAGACACCTGGGTGGCTCACAGGGCTACATCAGCATGGCATTGAAGTTCACAACAGCACGTTTCCTGGTAATTGCACTGTGGTGCCACACAGACCAAATTGGTGGAGCTTGGCTACAATATTTGCCGAGTCTTGCTGCCAGGAGGTTGTATCTAGCAAAGTCCTGCCAGGACAGCAAAGCAGGAGAAGCTTGTAGTGCCATGCTTCCTTCCAGCCTGTGTGGTGAGGAGGGACTCAAGGCTTTGAAACCTGGCGGCACCTGGGACAGTCGGGAAGCCTGGGGGCAAGCACCTGTGGTCTGGCCACATTTTGGCCCTGACATTATGTAAGGCCGTGAGTTTCTATTTTCTCCTCCGCTCTCCTCTCTGATTTCATGGTGCATCAGTGACAATGTTTATACACTTCCTGCGCTCAGGACAATTCTGTTGCCACAGCAACGCATGTGGCTCCCAGCATCCCGCATCCAAAGCCAAAGGTGTAATTTGGAGATCAACAGCCAAAGTGCTGGCAGATTTCCCTGGGAGAAGCTCCCCACACACTTTCTGGGAAACATTTGCCCCTCCAGCTCCCCTCCCTCGCAGGCGGCACCGCCACTGCCCCAGGTGTGCTGCTGGGTCTACGGTCACAGATAGTCCTTAAAGACATGACGGCAGAAGAAGCTCTGACCACTGAGGAAATCGAGGGTGTGCACAGACCCACCAAGACCACTCTACCCTCATGACTGCTGACTCCTGGCTTCCCAGGACCTGTTGGGCTGGCAGTGCCTCCCTCCCACCCCATAGTGTTTACATGTCAGATGGAGCCCTGCAGCATATGGGCTCTGTGACCCTCCTCCTCCTCTTGTGGGAAAAGGGAGCAGGGGAAGCACTGTGGCTGGACTTTTGACTCCTGGGCACTGGGGGCTTCTGCAGCACTGCTAGAATCTATAATTTCTGGTCCAGCACGATGCAGTAATTTGCTTCTCCTCTGTAGTGCTCCTCCTCCGAGCACTGCCCACATGTGTGGTGTGTCTTGGATTGGAGAAGAAGAGAGGAGCCATACCTTGGAGGAAAGCCCCTGGTAATAAATGAGAAGAATATACCAAAAGACTAGCTGAAGGTAGGGCCTGAGGGGCCAGATGAGGAGGACCCGGCCACCCTGGGCAACAGCAGTCCTTGAGAAGGGGGTTACTCACCGGTTGACTCGGACACTGGCCATGGCTCGCTGTATCATCAGGTGTTAGAGGGCTGTGGGAGCTGGGAGGGGCACAGGACCTCATGCAGCAGCACTCACATGGGACCGGGTGGCTCTGGGTTTCACCTCCAGCAAGCTGGGACCTGTGCGGCCATTGCAATTGCTCCTGGGCACGTGCCTTGCAGAGAAGGACAAAGCAAAACCCAGTCAGAGCCTCCCCTGACAGCACCCATCCCAGTCCCACAGCAGGGGCTGCAGGGGCTCCCATCCTTGTGCTTAGGAAGGGTCTGGAGGTGTCCACGGGCCACCTCGCCGCAGCCTGGCTGGTTGATGGATGCAGACCAGGTTGCACAGTCTGCAGCCCCTACGCTCCACCAGCATCTGCCTCCAGCAGAGATGCAGGGCCGGCTGGTCACCGCTCTCCAGATCAAGGGCACAAGGACTGAGCAGCTTGCAGGGCCCTTGCCCTGAGCCATGATATTAATATCAGAGCTTACACTAGGACAAGAGCTCAGCCAGGCTAAATACCTCGCACATAAGGACTAACGAAACACGGACATGCACAGCAGCCCTCAGGGATCCCCATCAGCCCAGCCTGACCCAGAGAGGATTTATTTCCAGGGGGTGCAGAACATCCCCCCCGTTTCAAAGAGGAGAAGACAAGCGATGGGTGGAGCTGGAAGGGAGAACTGATGGAAGAGAAGAGCTTAGGGGTAGGCGAGGAGAAGCCAGTTAGAGCAAACAGACCTTGCGATGTGCCCTGCGTACAGCATCCAAAGAGTGGCTTAGCAGCAGAGCCCTGGGCAGGATGTCCAGCAACGTTACATCCCAACCCGGTCCTCCCCGAACTGAAGAATGGAGAAACCGAAGACTCAAGAGCTGACCTATCCCACCTGCCCAGAGCTGCTGGGAAGTGAAATGCAGTGAGGTGGTAATGACTCACAGATTAGGAAGGGCTTTACACACCCATGCTAATCCCGCACCTGTGGATTACAGCAGCCAGTGCAGAGTGCAGGACGCAGACACAACCAGCTAGTTCGCTTCCTCCCAGCTTCACCGACGAGCAACCAGTGGTTGCCATATCTGGGACAAATCCAAGGTTTAGAGCTGCTTGCAAGCAGTCAGGCACAGACAGGAGGGAGGAACGGCAAGTGGTGTTGTCAGGGACAGAAAAACTGGTGAGAACCATCCTTGTCTCATCATCAGTGTTGTAGAACAGGGCTTCATGTGGCTAAGGGTCACCACCAGCTTTCCCCAGTTAGGAGCACGGGCTAGAAAGCAGCGAGTGAGGAGCTCCAGACATCACCTCTGATCTTCTCCAGAGACCAATGTTACAGGCAGTTTAAGCCCTGTGGCAACACAGGCATGGTTGTTCAGACCAGGTATATTATGGGACCAGAAAAAGACAGCAACCTTGTAGTCCACAATTCACCATGTAGAGGTAAAAGTGAATAGCTGCCTAAAAATTCCCATCAGGAAAAAGCACTTTTTTCTGAACCCTGACAGCACTCACCCCCTCACCACCCTACAGCATCCAAGTCTTTAAGGAGGGTTGGTTTGGCCAGATAAGGGAAATTTTGTGCAGCTGGGTAAACCTACAGAAGAAACTGAGGTTGGTAACCTAAATTAACCAGAAATGTTGAGGGATGACCAGGTGATGAAGAAAGGTCACTTCAGGCCCACAGATGGTGAGTTTGGGCTGCAGGGTCCCACAGGTCTTTAGGAGGAGACAAAGGCGGGCAACTTAGGTATACCCCTCTATGCCAACTCCAGCCAGGAGACCAAGTGCATCCTCTCCAACTGGCACCTTCCTTAGCCAGCCTGGATAAGCCAAGCTCATCCTTAGCCAGCATTGACACTGATACCAGAGGAGAGGCACTGCCACAGCTCATGTGTGGATACTTCACAACTTCCTAAAGGTTTCTGACCACCACCATCACCCCTTTCCCCAGCTGCAGGAATGGGTACACAATTTCTAGAGACTTCGGATTTCTGGCCCAGGTGGTGACCACCTACAAAAGAAGAGGAAGGAGGACCTAAGGAGCTTCTGCCCACTGAAGTTATGTGCAGCAGCACCTGGATCTCTGCTCTTAACCTTCCCCACCTCACCAAGAAGGGGCAAAGGAAGCAGATGAAATGCAGGTACCGCAAGGGCTGCGCTTGTCTCCCGTGCTGGCTGGTACAGCTACGGGAAGGGATGGGCACACCATTTAAGAGCACGGCATCCCATGCTGCTGTGCTTCCTCCTGGCTCCCCCACAGGAGCTCGTCAGCCAGAGCTGTGGCACAGCCTCTTGCGCAGAGCCCACCACGGCTGGATCTTGCAGCTCAGAGCCTGGGAAACATTTGCTGCTGGCTTTGCAATGCCAGAGCAGAGAATCAGCAGCTAAAGCGACATCACCACCTGCAATTTGTACTTAATCACAAGAAAAGTATTTCCATGACGAATAAAGGCTACGAATCTGAACACACACATTTGAGCACATGAAAGCAAATGGGTTTAGTACATTGTAGTAAATGGCTGTAGTGAGAGACCTGTGGTCTCAGTCCATACACTCAGTCCACACAGAATTGAGTTCATAGCTCTTTTTCTGCTTCAACTTCAGAAATTTTGCCGGTAGATTTAAGGACCTCGGCAACAAAATGCAGCGACTCTGCTCCAGAGGTGAGCTGTCTGATGGACCAGTTTGCACCTGTTATTATCTTGTGGAGGTTCTGCAAGGCGAAGTCTATGTTGTGCTTCACTGCCCCCGGGTTGGTCGTTTGGCCCGCTCTCAGGTTCTCATTCTCTGTCTTGGAGCTCTCCAGCTCTCCCTGGAGAATAAAGATCTCCTGCTTCAGCTTCTCCACATTGTTTTCTGCCTCCAGAGCCCGCTGGGTCATTAGCTGGATGCTCCGCTCAGTCCACTGGACAAAGGACCGCAGTTCTTGGGCATCCCTCTCCTCTTTGGCCAGGCTGGCCTTCAGCTGCCTCTCCATCCTCTGCACCATGCACGCCTGGCTCTCCAAGGAGCTCTGCATGCTCCTGACCACCCTCCTGAGCATGGCGTTCTCCTCCCTGAGCTGCAGGGACGGGAACTCCCTGTCTCCAATGGCCTCCTCGTGCAGCATGTGGGGCTCTGCTCCCCTGATGCGCTCTGGGTAACCCAGATAAGGGTCACTGGCATGGGCCCATGGGGCAAAGGCATCCACCCCCAAGTGCTTGCCCACGCTACACTGGAAAGAGTCATAGGAGCCACATGGTGCCATACTCGTGGTTCGGAGAACATGCGACCTTTGATGCACAGGACGGTGACAGGTCCAGCTGTGGTCCTCATCTTCAGACAAGTTGCCAGGCATTTCTGTGTCTTTGTAAAATGGTTCCTGAAACTCCTTCTCAAGCTCTAGTGCATGCTTGGCCAACCTCTTGGCATATAATCTATTTTTCATTTCTTCACCTTTCACCATGTAAGAGTGCCTGGGATTTAGAGAAAATGGGAAGGGTTCTCCCAGATCCTCCACCTGACTCTCACCCAAGCTGTCATCGCTCTTGCGCTGGGGTGGAGGACGTGTGAAGTGGCAGGGATAGCTGAATTCATCATCATTGTCATCGTCATCATCATCATCTTCCAAGCCTTGAGATTCTGGGCAGGCCCCCTCCATTGTTCCAGAGATGCCAAGCAGCCATGACATTTTTCAGGACACTTTGGGCTGCAGCAAGTGGGATGATCCAAATTATCCTCCTGGAGCCCAGGTCACACAGGCAGGTGACACAATAGTAATGTGCCAACTTCTGCAGCCTCAGCGATGCTCGTGGGGGAAGAGGCAGTCACCAAAACCCCTCCATTTAGATCACCAGGGTGTTCAGGAGGGAGCAGAGAGGAAGACCAAGCACCTCTGTGTCTTTACTATGGGGAGAACAGAATCACCAAGGTCTGTGATGTCATCATGTGACTTCACCGCCTGCTGTGAGGTCATGACCAGGGGAGAGAGGAACCAATCAACTACAAAAGTGCTTTTTTGGCAGCTTGAGGATCAGCTGGACCCTCGTGGCCACAGAGCCGACCCCAGCTTGGGGATGCTGCCAGTGGGCAGAGAGGACCTCGTGAAGCCACCCCAGCATGCAGGGAGGACAGGGACCGGCCAGCCCCGGGCAGGCAATGTGGGGCAGAGGGGACAACCCTGCCCTGCAGGCTACCGAGACGTCTCCAGCAGCGAGATCAAGCCACTTTTTGTGCCAGAGCTCAGCCCGGGCAGAGACAGGAGACGATAACCAGCGCTTTGGTCAGAGGCATCGCCCCGAGCCGGCCGGCCAGCCAGAGGTCCGTGCCGTGGTGCCACCGCTCTGATTCATCCCCTGCTGCCAGCTGGCACAGGGAAGCGTTAGTAATACCAGGCGCCACAAACTCGGAGCGGCACGAGCCAGGAGACGAACGAAAATAAACCCACTTACCACTTCCACCCCAACACACCCCCACAGCGCGCGGTGCCGCCACGGGAAAGACAGACAGGCAGGCAAGAAGCCCTGGGCTGGGGACTGCCATTGCATTATCTCCCCAGAGATTCTGCTCTGGGAGGTGAGGTAGCCACTGTCCCTCCTCAGCAGCTGGTGGCCCAGGGCCACTGCTGACATCCCTTGCCGGCAAAATGGATGTCACCAGCTCGGTAAGGCCAGGGGCTGTACCAGGAGCCTGAACCTTATGCAAACTCAGTTCAAATGGCTGTGAAATGGTCCAATTGCTCCTTGGAAACCTGAAACACAAATGGGATGAAAGGGGAAGACTCAGAGATGCCTGCAGCAAAAGGGGGTGACATTCACATCCTGAACAGGCAGCTGCCTGTCACACGGATGAGGGGGAGGAAAGCCTGGCTGAGAACAGAGCTGCAAAGCCTGGAGCATGCCTGAGGACCTTTCTTGGAGCTTGCTCTGCCTCCTGGGACCCACATGTGGAGGGGGAAGCAAGGGGGTCAGCGGTGTCTCCTGGGGAGAGGGGTGAAACCACGCTGATGGGTGCAGCATGGGGCACCCTGGGAGCTGCTAGGCAGGACACTGTGGTCCGGAGAGATGCCTCTTCATCCCTCTGCTGCCCTGTCCCCAGCATACATCAACACCCACGTCATTCATGGCCTGAGGAAGCCCCCCAGCACGTCGGGAAGACGCTGCAGCGTGGGCATCGCAGCCGCTGTCTTGCAGTGTTGAAGCTGTCAGCCAGGTGGGTCTCCGGGGCCCGACAGCTGCCTCCAACCCCGCAGCCTGGGCTGCCCTTCCCTCCTTCCCAACCACTTTCCCCTTCCTGCGCCCTGGATTGAGCGACGACGGGGACACCGCCGCTGTGCCGCAGTCATCCCCACCTTCCCGGGTGATGCCGCGCTCCGGCAGCACAAGCCATAGCGCCAGCCCGCGCTGCCAGCCGGGCGCTGCTCTGACCCCGAGCAGACGTGTGGGGCCAGGCTGCCGCCATCGCCGCCCGAGGGATCTGCGGGCTAATAATAATGACGTCAGGGCGCGTGGTGCTGATGCAATGTCTCCATCGCTCCATCCCCAGTACACAGTGCAGCTCCTCGCACGTCCCAGGCTTTCTCCAGCCCTTGCCAGAGCGGATCATAGATTGTCAATTCTTTCTTAAATTTGTGATGGAAGAGTCTCATGAAACAGAACAGAAAAGTCCACGCTGAAGCACTCCCCCACTTGTCTTTTTATAACAACCGTATCTGGTGCTCTGGGATGTACACCGTGAACGACGACGATGGAAAAATCCCAGGGTATTTTTACACTCTTAGTCTTTGCTTTATCTGGAGTCGTCTGGCAAATGCTTCCCTCCTGTCTGTGGTCAATACTGCAGCCGCTGGTTGCACCGCGCTTTGTGCCTTTATTCCTCTCACCGGCTGCGTAGCGCTGTCTGGTTTTGAGATCAGCATCCACAGACCCATCCTGCTGGCTCGGGCACGGTGACAACACGGCAGATGTCTTCTCGACCCTTGGGGAGTCAGGGTGGAAACACCCGCAGCAGAGACGGGACCCCTCTGGCTTTCTGCAGAGCCTCGCAGACCCACGGCTTTCGGTTTGTCCCCTCCGTCCTCTTTTTAACTCCATCTCTTCTCCTCTTCCTCACAAATATTCCCGGGGTTCACGCCGGGGCTCGTAGGGCAGGTCGGTGCCGTGGGGCTCTCTTGCCACAAGAGGCGGTGGCCGAGCTCTTGCTCCTCCGTGCCGGCAGGCCTGGGTGCTAGGCGCTGTACGAGCACACGCGAAGGCACCGTCACCGTGCGGGAGAGTTTTGCCATATTAAAAAGGCAAGTGACATATGGAAGGTGAGGGGAGGAAGCTGTAATCAACTCTATACCATTTTTATATACACACTTCTGCCTTTTTGTTCAATAATTATAAATAGATCGAGTAAGTGCCAGCAGTCCCCATCTGCCCCACAAGGCATGATCTGCTGACCAGTTTCTCTCTCCAAAAAAGGATTTTATTAATGTGCCTCTGCCCGCTTTATATTTTGGGGTGGAGTGGGAAGGGGGGATTTTTGTTCCCCCCTGTGAAGCTCTGGAGCCTGGGGATGGGTAATATGAAAACAAAACAAAATGATTTGAAGTTAAACCATCTCAGTGTGTGACTCAGAGCTATTCATAGCTCCCTGAAGCCAGCTGCAGCAACGGAGCCAGAAGGATTCTGCCCGTATTATTATTCCAATTACCATCTGAATTAAAAGTTTGAGCAGTGATCAACCCACATACTGACGGGAGGGGGAGAGAAGAAAGCGAAGAGAGAAGGAGAGAAGAAGAGAGAGGGAGAAAAAAACAGATAAAAATGGGATCCACACAAAGGTCCCCAGGATGACAAAGTCGGGAAGAGGCACAGAAAGGTGACAGCATCACCTCCCGCCTGCTCCCACATCGCCCCGGCAATCCCTGCTCCGGCTGCACCATCCGGGCGATGGTGCTGCAAGAGCGGCCGCCTGCTCCTTGGGGTCCCAGCCGAGACGGGGTGTACCCCATGGCAGGGCTGGTGGGACCGGCACGGGCGCTCACCCGCCCTCCTTCACCCAAAACAGGGCTGGGGGGACAAGAGGCAGGGGCTGGGGCGAGGCTGAGCAGGAGCGTAAGGAGAGGATGCTGCTGGGGCGGCGTCTGGGGAGAAGTCCCTGCTTTTTCTTGTCGAGTGAGGTAGGTGGGTGTTGTTCTTTGTGGCTGGCATCACAGGGAAAATTAAATGCTCAGAAGACCTCTGGCCTTCCCTGGCTGGTGCTCTTGGCCAAAAAGAAGCCGGGCATTTGTGGAAACCAGGGTGCAACACCATGTCCCACCTGCTCCCAAGGGAGCACTGGGGCTGACACTTGCCCCTGCAGCCATCCTGCCAAAAACGTGGACTAGACCCTGAAAGGTTGGTGCAAAACCCTTAAGAGCAGAAAAAACAAAGGCCCTGGGGTGTCCCCGAGCGCCTCACGTCCCGGAGGGCTGTGGTGCACTCCGGTTGCCTCCTCCAAATTCCCAGCACCACTGCACCAGCAAAAAGGGTGTCTCCCCTAAATCCCCCACCCACCACCCCAGGACGAGCCTTCGCCGAGCACCCTGCCCGCGAAAGGCCATCCCCAGCAGTGCCCTTGCACCTCGGCAGCCCCCCAGCACAGAGCCCTTCTTAAGCCTGTGCCAGCCTGGCCAGGAGGGCCGCCCCCGAGGGGCC